TCGTGGGAAACGCGGGCATTCCGCGGAGCCAACGCTTCCGTGCCGCTTTCTTCTTGTAAAGCCGCGGGTGACCCGGTTAGTTTATTCCAAAGCCTGCGAGCCTTTTTCCTCATGTTCGTCTGCCCAAGCTGTGCCACCAATTTAGTTTGTTAGTCAAAAACGGATTAGCGTCGCTGGGATCTCATTATGATGTTGAAAGGCGACAAGGACATCTTTATTTGATAAAGGTGAGGAAGACCTGGTAACGATGGAAAGCCACGGGGTGTCTCCAACTTGCATTGTCATGGTATGGTAGTTGTGTGGAGGTAGCAATAAGGAGGGCCGTTATACGTTCTCATTTAAACTGAGCTTATCCAGATCTGACCGGTGGATGAACTCGGGTGACTAGGACGTGATTTTGAGCTTCAGCTTAAAACCATAGTAAAGCTTTCCTCCCAGCATGAAAATGCATGCATTGATGGACATGGTTATATTTGTTAAACACTTAAAGTAACTCTAATAGAGTCGTCGTATTCGCAGCCTCCATATCACATATGGAGTGTGCTTCATATGAATATGGAGGTTGCCGAGTCGAAATGCAAACACGGAGTTGTTATAACAGTTGTCATTGTGTCAGTTGTTCTTCCCCAAGAAAATTCGGGCGAACACATTGAATTGAAACGAAAAGCATTGATTTCATTGCTAAATGGGACGAAAAATTAGTCGCAATGCGACTTGCATCCATAACACCCAATAATAATCAGTTCAATTATACTAGTTAGTTAACTAGTTGCCACATTACCCAGGTGTATGACTCTATGGCTGCCAGTATTTTTCTAGACGAGGCAAAAACTTTAACTCTCTATTAATCAATAAAGGAAAAACCCAAACTATGTGAAGTCTGAGGTAGACATGCCCAAAACCGGTTTTCAAACATGTCAAGAAGAAACATAATCCATGTCGTTCGCAAGTGTCATCATCACTTGTCGCCCTCGGTCGACAACTCCAACTTCATCATAGACGACCATCAAAGAGTTCACCATGAGACTCCCATTTCGACCGTGCCAAACCGTGGCTTGCTCTTGTTTATCAAAAAGGACAATTATGGTGTGCCTTTCTTGGAAATGGATGTAATAGCTCCCTCGCCAGAGCATGTGCGGTTGGACAGTCGAAGCACAGTAGGAGGTCGGTCCGGTTCACGCATCGGCTTAATGTGCGGGGACATGTAACATGCATGATTCAAGGATTTTGACGTAGAAATACACATTTGTAGTTCGTGGTCACCACATAGGCAGATCATGCCATCCACATGGCTCTGCATAACCGCCCATGTCGTATGGCACAAATTAAGGCCTCAAGTTACGTCATATGGATGCAACCAGTCATCGGAGGGAGGTGGCAACTGGCAGGTCACTTGATGTCTGTTTTTTTTAAACACAGAACAGATGACAGATGCCCGTATATATACATATATACTCAACGTACGCACATACACTCTATTCCTATAAATATCTTAGAAAAACTGAGCCAGCACATAATTTAAAGATTGATGAAGTCACCACAGACGACTTCGTAGTAGACGAGAACGTCTCCTCTCACTAAACGCACCAAAAGGCACGAAATAAATCGAGAAAAATGCAAACACGAATGTCAAGTCTAGGACTTAAACTCTAGTTGGCTAGGGATACCACTGTCCTCCTAAGGGCATCTCCAACGGCGACCCGCAAACCGCCCGCATACGTCTGAACCATGCTATCGGACCACGAAAGTCATCCAACGCAAGCATGTATCGGTCCGCAAGACGGTCCAGACACGTTTTCTCTTGCAAACCAGAGATAAACGTGGGGGTGGGGGGTGGGGGGGGGGGCTTTGAAGGAGTCTGAACTGCTGTCACGCCCGCTTCTGAACGCCCTGGCCTACCCAAACCCCCCACCCGCCCCTCCTGCGATTTCCTTCCGATGCACGCGCCGCTTACCGCGCCGCATTCATGCCAGCCCAGAGCACGCATCGGCAGACATTGATGCCGCGATGTGACCGAAGGGAGGAAGGGAGGGCCGCTGACCGACGCGGCCTCTTGGGAGCCGCTGCTTCAATGCGGATGCAACTTTCCGATGAACCAACTCCGGCTGCTGCGCCGCATTGAAGCGGCTAACTGTCCCTTCGCATGGCCTGGCCGCAGCTATATAAGCCGCGCTCCGGCGCCATCCACATCGCAATATATCCTCCTCCTCCCCTTTCCCCGCCCATCTCCCTACACAATTTCAGCAATGAACAAGTCGTGGGCACCGGCACCGGTAGGCGGCTGGCTCGCGGCGGGCTCGAGTGGATCGTGGTGACGCCACCCTCGAACTCCGGGACCGTCATTCTTATCGGTGGGCAGCCCCTCGACGAAGGTGGAGATCGTCATCTCCTTTGGCGACGAGGAGGACCAGCCGCCACCACAGCAGCAGTCTGCGTCGGCAGTGCCGGGCCAGGTCTACGCCGCCATCGACGGAATTCGAGGAGCAGATGGAGCTGATGATCCGTTGCTCCGTGGTCCACCTCAACGGCCTGGCTCCGCCACAGGGGACGCTCCTTCCCATGAAGCGGGAGTCGGCATCCCCTCCGCGCCCATCGCCGCGCAACCGGGGCATCCAAATCAGACGCCGCGTGAAGGAAGAACGGCTCTCGCCGCTGCCCCGACGCGTCAAGGAGGAGCGGCTCTCTCCGCCACCTCGGCGCGTCATCAAGGAAGAGTGCCACGCGCCGCCGCCCCTACCGAAGGCGTGCGGTCCATTCTCCACTACCTCGGCAGTGGCGAGGGCGGCAGTAGCTTGTCCCAGAGTGCCATGACGGCGCAGGAGTACGCCGATAGGGAGCAGTCCCGCGGGACAGGCGCAACGTCGGCGTTGGTCCAAGTACGCAGACTTCGCCGTCCCGCCGCCACACATAGCAGCTGACCTAGACTTGGCGTACGCCTGGTTCCTGGACTGCTCCGTGACGACGTCGAAGATAGCCAAGCATCGTGCCTCGACAGGGAGATGGCCAGGTATGACGAGGAATGGTCTCTCAGCGAGATTGACGCCGCCAACGATGCCTCCTCCAATGACCGCTGCCCTCTCCCACAACCCATGTCCTTAGTGGCCGCGGCCGCACTGTGCACGGCGCAGGAGGAAGCGGAAAGGATCATCCGCAAGCGTCAGACGGCCGTCAGGAAGCCCTGCCGCGACGCAGCCATCTTCTGCCGCCCGAAGCCCGATGATCACGACGTATCGGGTGACGATGACGGCGTAGGAGCCGCCGGCCAGCCTGACATGGCCTACGAGGTCACCGTCAAATATAGGACAGTTTAGAGTTTTATTTTAAGGGTTTTAGTTCATCGGGTAAAATATCGTTTGATTTTATGTACAAATTATTCTAGTTTTAATGAAATCCGTCGTGTTTATATCAAAATTCGTCCAGTTGATTCGTACTATTGTCAAGATGTATGCGGCTACTGGTGGATAATGGCCTTCCGCACTTCCGCATTCGTGTTCGCTGACTGGTCCCTCTGTCCACGAACAGTTTGGAACAGACGCGGGAGAAAATTTACGGGTCACGGTTGGAGTTAATTAACCATCTAAACACAAAAGTTGGTCCGCCTTGATGTTGGCCGGTAGATCTACGTATAAGGACCGGATCACCCGTAGCCAAGCAGATCTACCTGAGCTTTTTTTTAATGAACTTGTGATCTCACATGCAGGCGCGTTGGACCAATCAGCCGCAAGAGGATTGATCCGGCAAGTGCTCAGTCTGCATTGGCACTTGCGATGCGACCAAAATGCTTGCGTGGAGTTGGTGGTCTGCACGACCATTACTGTTTTTTTTTTGCGAGGAGACCATTACTGATTACCACTAGTATCATTTTTGTAATCGCAATTGTGGTTTACATGACCTTCTACAACTGTCTATCAAACGGTTAATGAGGTACATAACCAGATAATAATCCCCTCGGGGCCTCATTTTGTCAAATTTTATGCCGAGTCAGGTGTGTTATTGTCAAGTTGATATATTGCTACATGTTCTATATAAAAAATTTGCTTGTACTAAGGGTCGAAGAGTTCAATCTTTTTGTTTTTTGCGAGTTGGAGAATAACATCATTGTGTCTGTAACAATCCTCATGTTCAACGCTACATTTGAATTCAAGCATACCCATGTTCTATCAAGACGTTTGTCCAAGAAAATAAATTGTTGAACAACATATCTCTACTTTTGTTTCATTACTAACATATCATGGCAAGAGTAAGGACATATGTTGGAGCTTTATATTTTAAAATATAGGTTACATGCAATCGATTTTAGAAACAAAGACAGGGTGGGGAGAAGGAGCGGTGTGTTGACGTGACAAGATTATTGGCAGTGGTCGATTTGGGGGGTGGGGGGTTGCATTCCCCCCAAAACATTTGTGATTTTAAGTGTTTTCGGTTAACTTACTAAAAAAGTATGGCATTTGTGAACGTTTTCATTAACAATTTTAGTTATACAAGGATGACATCTTCTTCATAAGAGAATGCAAGTTTTTTGGTATATTATAGACATTTTTCGCTAGAAAACTGCCACCGCATGATTTTTATCAGACGGCGCGGGAACGTTCCGTGAGACCTCCTCCCAGAAACGTTCCCCATTTAACATTACTGGGAAAAAACAGTAACAACAGCTCGATGCACACTACGGCTAAGGAAAGAATATTTACAGTTCCAAAAATACTGCCTAATAAAGGAATATATTTACCTTTTAGCTTGGTTTAACTTGCCATAGCATCATGGCGTTGGATTCTTTGATGAAGGATCCGCCTCTTCCCGGCCCGAGCAGCCCCTTCTATTCCCGCCACATGGATCCCAAAAGGGAAGGAAAAAAAGAAATAGAAACTTCCTAAAAGGAAAAATAAAATAAATTTTTGAAATATCTCTCGGATCGCACCATATAAGGCTACGCGCACCCACCCGCAGTCCCCAGCACTACCGCGCTCCGCCCCGCTCCCGCCCCCACCACCCCCGTCGCAATGGCGATTCGCCGGCAGCGCCGCTCCTTCCCGCTCGTCCCCTTCCTCGTCTCCCTCCTCGCCGTCGCCGCCTATGGCCGCCTCATCTCCGACGGCATGCCGGCCACCCCGTCCTCCTCCGTCCTCGCGTCTCCGCTGTCCTCGGCCGCCATCCGCCTCAACTCCTCCTCGCCGGCCACCGCCGCGGCCGAGGAGTGCGAGCAGACGTACGGCTTCCTCCCGTGCACCACCACCGTGTTCGGGAACATGTTCCTGGTGCTCACCTACGGGTTCCTCATGTTCAAGGCGGCCACGTTCCTGTCGGCCGGCAGTGAGCTGCTGCTGGAGATCATGGGCCCTGGCCTCGTCGGCGGCCTCCTCCTCCCCATCCTCGGCGCCCTCCCCGACGCGCTCCTCGTGCTCGGTACGCTCGCCCTGCTTCCTTGCTTAAATTCTACCTTCGCAGCTCGTTCAAGCCTACGGCTTCATAAAGCAATTCTTACGTGTGTTCCCCAAAAAGCAACTAGCTCGCTCCCAAGGACAGAATGATTTGCTCTTCAAGCAACTGCCGAGCTGATCTTTAGAAATAGTAGTGGTATTTTACCGGAAGAGTAAATCCTTGTTGAGAACAGATTGAAGAGTAAAAAGCAATTCCTCCCGTTTATGTTCGCGCTCCTCGGTTCTTGATTTGTTTCAGATCTGAACCATCTGGTTTGATCTGATTGGATCAGAGCATGATAAGCTGTATGACCCCCATTGGTAGACCTTGGGCGGCTTGTGCAGTAGCCCGATTTCTCTTGCTGATCTCATCAGCTTGTTCTTTTCGTTGGCACATGTATGGATTAACCCAAAAGTAGCCTATTTGACGCATCTATTTGGAGTCCTTTCAATTGGTAATTTATAATAACCAAACTTAAGCCCCAACCAACCACCCAAGCCTACGGACAAACAGTGTTTGCAAATTATGCCCTGCTTTCTCTGGAATCCGTCGGTTTATTAGCTTATATTTAACTTTCACCAGTACCTGTCGTCGCTGGCCTTTTGACTTTCCCCACTTTCTGTTCTTGATCTTTTCTTGTTATCTTGTCTGCATAATTTACCTTTTCTTTGTCCACTGCACATAAAGGATTGGCCGATGGCTTCGAGCTGCTTTTCTCTCTAATTTTGTGGGGTTTTATTGCCTTTGATCAGTATTTTTGTATGGTAATAACAGTGATTCTTTGACAATAGCTTTTGAAATATTGTGGGAAAAAGGAACCATATCGCCAATTAGTTAGCTGATCAGTCTTCGGTGTCTTGGTGATGGGTAGGTGTATGTATCATCACTAGTATATGCGAAAGGTGTTCTATTAGTCGGTCAGTTAGTCAGCTAACATCTTACAGTTAATTGTTTCGTGATATTGTGGGATGGTACATCATGTGGATCATCTAGATGAATTGTTGATGCATTTTCGAAGCAACGACAACAAATTATTATTTTTACCAGAAAATTATTATAAATGAGCTTATTATTAATATTATCCATCTTCCTGATGAGTGCATACCGTTTTCCACAGCACGATTTTTTGTCTGTAGGTTTTGAGTTGCAATGCATTTTTGGCACCTTGTGGGTTTCTTGTGCGCTCCTCTTATTTTTCCTTAGAATTTTACATCCCGACGAGTTTTTAATTTGCAGTTGGAATTCGTTGAAAATTGCCTTTTGGTACACTGCTTCTGAAATTAGCATCAGACAGACCACTTATAAAATTTTATTACCGGGTTCATGATGCATTACCTTAATCCTCACGTGATATCTTGGTTACCGACAATAACACATCATGTATCAGAAAGGACCTAATTTATCAAAGGCGAAGTTCCCTGGTGAAACAATTTTGCTTATGTAGTAATTGCTCAAAATTAAGAATAATAAGTTGTTATATACTCCCTCCGTCCAAAAAAACTTGTCCCAAGCTTGTCCCTCAAATGAATGTATCTAGCACTAACTTGGTGCTAGATACATTCATTTGAGGGACAAGCTTTTTCGGACCGAGGGAGTACGTTATTAAGGCTATTACAAAGACATGAAAACAGATTTTAAACAAGCACACAACATGCTTTATATAACATAATATCACAGCTGCCAATTTACTACATTATTATCAATGTGATCCACATAACTAGTATATTTGGTCACTTCTAAATTCAACATCATTAACATTTAAGCCTCATTCTGTTTCTTTTTCTTCTGGTCTCTCTTAATAAATTGTGTACTTCTGTGTTCACTTCAAAGACTAGCTTACTGTAGTAACTTTTTCTTCTTGTGTTTTAAGTGGTATAAAACATCTTTGTGTGATGGAAACATCATTTACTGTTTCTGATGCTCTGCTCACAGCAGAGTTATGATGGTCCATATGCTAGTGTCATCAAACTATTTAATTTTACTGCTCTATGATTATTCAGCTCTATGCAGAACGTGCTTAATGCACACGTTCACACATAATTCTGATCTGTTTGTTCTGTTCTGTTAACAGTATCTGGTCTCTCTGGGACTAAAGAGACCGCACAAAGTCAGGTCCTCATTGGGATGGGGCTGCTTGCTGGTTCGACCGTCTTTCTTCTCACCCTGCTTTGGGGAACTTGTGTTGTTGTTGGCAAGTGTGATGTTGGGGAAGACGGTGTTGCTATTGATTCAACTGACACTAAGGGCTTCAGCTTGAGTGGTAAGTTGTCGCCCTGTATGCATGTTGTTGTTACTGCAGTCTGGCAGATTTCTCATGCTTGGTCAGTTTTTGTCTCAATTATTTAACAATGTTGATATGACCGCACCCTTTTGCAGGCTCTGGCATTACAACTGATGTGCAGACCAGCTATGCAGCACGAATCATGGCCATTTCTGTTATTCCCTTTGTCATTGCTCAGTTCCCGAAAATGTTGTATACTCACCATGGGGAGCGCCTGGCCATCTTGCTGGCCCTAATTGCATCGTTCTCACTTGTACTCGCCTACTGCCTGTATCAGGTAAAAATTCAGGCAGTTTCGTTTTTAGGAGGCTGCAAATGGTGGCAAGATTAGAATAAATTTTGACAGTGTTAGATTCAACATTTTGCATCAGGTTTTCCAGCCTTGGGTTCAGAAGAGGAAGCTCGCATACGCAAAGCACAAGCATGTGATCTCTGGGATCCTACAGCATGCCCAAAAGCAAGCACTGGGCCGGATGCTTAACGATGACGGCTCACCTAATGAAAACGTCATAAGAAAGTGAGTTTCTTAAAGTATATAACTATTTTCGACATTCAAACAACACAGCATTCATGAGCATGATATATGAAACCTTGTCTATGCTCACCCCCAGGCTGTTCCACAAGATTGACAATGATGACAGCCGTAACCTGTCACGAGCAGAGCTACATGCGCTTATTATCGGGATCAACTTTGATGAGATTGACTTTGACAAGAATGATGCAGTCGATAAGATCATGGACGACTTTGATACTTCAGGCAATGACACTGTGGAGGAGGATGAGTTTGTCGCGGGAATGAAAACATGGCTTAATGAGGCGAAGCAAAAAGTGGCGGCTAGTGGTGCCTACTCTAATAAGTTTGTCAACGACTACCACGCTGTAAGTTTATTTACTTCCGATCCCTGTAAACAGAAATAGATACAGAGCCTTGTTTTGAGTTTTTTCCGTCAGCACGGGTGCAGCTGAGCCTGGGCTCAGAAGTGGATTAACGATACAGAGCACACATTTTCAGGGAAACACAAAAAAAAACTTTATATAGTAGCATAACATGGACATCAAAGAGGTGGACACTTACCGAGTTGTCTGAATTCTGCAGAGAACCAGGGAGGAGCATGACCAGTTGGTCGACAGATCTGACGAGGCAGTGGAGAGCGTCGAGAACCCTGGCTGGTGCATTGCCAAAGCCGTGGGGTACCTGATTCTCGGTGCTACCATTTGTGCCGCATTTGCAGACCCGCTCGTTGATGCTGTCCACAACTTCTCTAACGCCACACACATCCCGTCCTTCTTTGTCTCGTTCATCGGCCTCCCGCTGGCAACCAATTCCAGCGAGGCTGTCTCGGCCATCATCTTCGCCAGCAGGAAGAAGCAGAGGACTTGCTCCCTTACTTTCTCGGAGGTACATCACTGCAAGACACAGTAAAACTCCTTAGCTTGTAAGCATCCTTCGGTAAACTTAACGACAAATTCGCTTGCAGGTGTACGGCGGTGTGACCATGAACAACACACTGTGCCTGGGCGTGTTCTTAGCGCTCATCTACTTCAGGGAGCTGACGTGGGACTTCTCCTCGGAGGTGCTCGTCATCCTGCTCGTCTGTGTCATCATGGGCCTCTTCACAAGCTTCCGGACCAGCTTCCCGCTCTGGACCTGCCTGGTGGCGTACCTGCTGTACCCTCTGACACTCGCCGTCGTCTACGTCCTTGACTTCGTCTTCGGCTGGTCATAGGCTCATGCTTCTGCACGCACATTTGTGTTTGATCCTGTCGTGATTTTTGACTCATTGTAATTTATATGTCTAGACTTCGAGGTGTTTATTGTGTTCATATCCATGGTGTGCATTGTGTATCCCTGAATCTATCTTTAAGGTCCCATCTGGGTGTAGCGTTTCTGTGTGTTATATGGAGGATATTGGGAGCTACATGCTAGAAATGAGCTGAGATTAACCTATTTTATCCATTGGTGGAATTCATGGCTTTCACTTTCAGTGAGATTTTGATGAAATTCATCAGCTGGCACTGAAATATGTATGTTCTGGCCAAAATATTAGCAATTTCAGTAGTACACAAGAATTCAAATATTTTCAAAAGTTTCAAAATTTTAATTGAATTCAAGTGAATATTTTGGCCCGGCCGAAACGCAAACCGAAATCACTGAAATTCACTGAATTTCGGTGATTTCGGTTGGTGCTGAAACTTTTATGAAACTGAAATCGAAAACCACGGTGGAATCTAATCTGCATTTTGCTCTTGGTATGATGATTTATGGAGTAGCATTTCTTGGCACACCGCTTTGTCATGTGTGTAGTGAGAAAAATTTCATTGTGACACTTCCTAGATCTGCACGGGAGAGGCCCCACAAGCAGCTAGCTGTGAAGTGATGCCCATCCTTTGCACATGCTCTCCTTTCCGCTGCCGGCAACATCTACCCATCTCACACTTTTCTGTTGAGTTTCTGCTACATTTGGCACCAGCTTACCTGGACCATACATAAAAGCTTCCTGCTTCCATCATGCACACTGCTGCTCTACTTCACTTCGTCAGAAATAACATACTACTAGTTGCTAGGTAAATTAACCATGTCACCAGAAGACTTATTGACAGTGAAAACATCTCCTAGAAAGCAGCTGTTTGATACAATCTGATGTTACTACTTGAACACATCTGTCTCTCTTAGCTTTCTCCACAACCTCCTAAATGTTCATTGCAGATTTGATCAGCCCTTCCATAGCTTCAGCTCCAAGTCGATTTCCCCTTCCGACACGTCGGCCCTCCGCTCGCTCGGGGCTCTCTCCCGGTGGACCGGCCCGATCGGGAGGAAGTTGTAGAATGGCAGGGACGACGATGATGACGAAGCTGAAACGCTCCCCAGCTGATCAGAAAGATTTCATCAGTTGGAGTCAAATCTAGCTCACACAATTTACAGGGTTCAGAAGAGCATGGCGTTTCACTTGCCTGGGGTGGCATCGCGCTGGCACTGAAGTCGCTGTACTCCGGGATGTGCATTGATGGCACCACATGAGGCTGCTTCATGAGGTGTGGAGGCCGGGAGCTCAGGGTGAGCAAGCCGGCGTCTCTGCTACGGCCGGCATCCTTGCCGTGACCGAACTCCGGTGGTGTCCAGTCTGAACAACTTGGGTACGCACTTGCACTGCTGCACCGCACAGATGAAGGTGAGAAACAAACAGACTATATACTCCAAGAACACTAGGTTGGTATCAAAACAAATTGTGCCAAAATGTACTAATACTTTCTTCATGGTAATAAATATATATATGATAAACATGTTATGCGTTTCTTAGCTTTTTATCAGGTAAATTCAACACGGAATGAAGCTGTAATTTTTAGTGGTAATTGGGATGGATAGGAGTAACTGCAGGATACAAGTTACAAGAACAGTTACTACCATTCTGGAAATAACAATGCAGTGAAACAACTTGCCCGGAATACGAGGAGCAAACAGAGGCAGGAATTTAAACTTTGATAAAACTGAGACGGTGAGCTAAAACTGCAATCTACCTGAAATAATTGGTCGCTCTGAACTCGTATCTGCTCAGGTCAGGAGTGACATCGGCCATCCCGGAATCGCTCGCCGTCCTGACGGCGAACGGCGGCAACGGAGGAGGGGGGAAGGCTTTGCTCGTCGTCGTGAATGGGGTCATCCCCTCGAACATGAAGGGCCAGGACCTATCCACGCCGGCCGGTTCCTACACTCTACCCGAATCCACATTTAGCGACCATCCATCACAGGCAAGTTCAAGTTCATCACGGGAGCGGCGTGAGAGATATATACGTACCCTCTCGTCTTCCGTCGGCGCCGGCGCCGCCGCGCTGCTCCTCCTGCTGTTGCTGTACATTTGGTTTGAAGGGGGCTCTGTTGGGTGGCTCGACGGCGCCGTCAGGGACAGGCCCGTGCTCACCTGGTCGGCGAAAGATTTGCGTAAGTTTGAGACCTCGTTCGTGCATAGTACATGCATACGCCGTGCCGTGACGTGGAGTGGAGGCTGCGGCCCGTGGGGAGGGCAGGTACGTACCATTGGGAGTGGAGGCTGCGGGCACAGGCTTCTCTTGTAGGGGTGCTTCGCCGGATCCGCCGGGCTCCAGAGCGCCGGCGGGAAGCCGCAGTGCTCCGCGGCGGCCGGCCTCGACAGGGCGCTGAGCGGGGGCGCCGGCGGCGGATGATGGAGCAGGGCGGGCGTGGGGAGGTGGCATAGGGCCCCGCCGTTGAGCGCGTGCGACGACGGCGTGGCCGCGGAGGGGCCTCCTCCCATTTTCTTCTGCTCCTCGATGCGGAGCTTCTCGAGCTGCGCCACGCCGAGGCCGCGCTGCGGGATCTTCTTGGGCTTGTTCTTCCTCGACGCCCGCGCCACGCCGGTGGCCGCGCCGTTGCCGTTGCCGGTCCCGGTCCCGCCGCCGTACTTGGCCAGCTGCTGCTGCAGGTGGTGGCTGCTGCTGTTGCTCGGCTCCTGCACCATCTCGCCGCGCCGAGCCAACCGAGCGCCCGGCTCCTCCTCCCGTCCCCGCGTGCGCCTCACGGAACGCGAGAAGCCACCACACCACCAAATGTATGGGACCGCATCACGGACCCATGGCCGGGACGGGAGAGAGCGCGGCCAGCAGAGGCGCAACGGAACGACCGGCCGGAGAGGGGAGATGAGGCCGGCCGGGGACGCGCGCGCGGCCGGCGGTGCCGCAACCCGAGGAGGCAGGGGACAAGGGACTAGCGCTAACGCGGCGCGGGCGCAGCACGGTCCGCGCAGCCTACCGGATCAAGAAACCCGCGGCTGTGTGTGGGGCGGAGGCGCAATGCGCGGGGTATATATAGGTGCGCGGGAGCCGGGAAGAGTGTGCGAGCGAGTGGCGAGTGGTGCCAGGCGCGGGGGACTCGGGAGCGGGAGATCTAGACTCACTAGACACGGAGAGAGAGGAGAGGAGGGAGATGAGATGAGATGAGATGATGGCCGGGATCGTATCTTGTTTCTTTTTCCTCGCCTAATTTGCCGCCCTAATCCTCGCTCCGCTTTGACATGACACACAAGCTCGATGTCTCTCTCTTCTCCTCCGAGGTTGCAGGAGAAAAAGAGCCACGATACCAGGAGCAACAACCGCTGGCCTGGCCAAATTGAACGGCTGCGGCCACATAGGCATGCGAGATCAACGGGCTCAGTTTTCGTCAGCAACTGCTTGCCGCCAATCTTAGAGCCTCTCCACAACAATCGCATGCAACTCTTTTTTTACTGCTGGGCGCAGTGTGTTTATCCGCGCCCGGTATGTTTAGCGTGCAATTAATCGTATTAAATAAGACATCAATTGTATGTTGGTATATGTAGGATATTGATTATATAGATAACACCGACGTCTATATTAGATATAAGGCTGGTTGTAATGGGGAGTATCATATACTAGTATCATGCATATGATACTAGTGTATGATACTACCTCTCTAATGCATAGTATTATATATTAGTATCATATAGTACTCTATTTATTGTCATGCATGACACAAAGTAGTATAGCATTTATTATAATACGGTATCATGATATGATACTCCATCATCTCTTTCTTCATTTAATGCTATGACACCTCATCAAAATTGTCTAGTTGACATGTATGATACTAGCTATGATACTACCATTACGACCAGCCTAATACCCCCTTCTTTCCGATTTATAAGACTTAATTTGAAAATCTCTTCAATCAAGGTAGATCATGAATGGTGGAATTAATTCCGTAGTTTGCAAAAATACTTAAGTAATACTCTCATTTTTTTCAAAAAAATGTGTATACCGATGCATTAGTTACACAACATGCATGCATGACCACTAAATGACCAAGAACTTACAGTACATGGGTTGGTGAGTTTTTTCTCCATACAGTACATGGAGTAGTGTAATTGAGACTTATAAACTGAAAAGAAGTATTAATTGCATGCTAACATTCCCTGCTATGACGAGGATCTGAGTTTGAGAGAACTACATGGAGGTTCAGAGAGAGAGAGAGAGAGGGAGAGAGAGAGAGAGAGGAGCTAACATGGGGAGGAAGAAGATACAGATCCGAGAGATAGGAGGGGTTCAGTCATTACAATGCATTGATCCCCACTCACACGACACAACAAACTAAATACCATACAACACGGGTCGGGGACGGCACGACCCACACTCGCACAACCCAACGACCCACTGGGTCATGGCACTCCCCTCCTCTTGCAAACGGTTTGTCCTCAAGTCGTGGACAATTCAGACAGCACACTTTCCCATTCCCAAGTGGCCATTGTCATCTGGAGTCCGCTCCAGGCCACCTTCAACTGCTTCCTCGTGCATCCTCCAAATCGTACCAGCGACAGGGCACACATGAGCATACTGCAACGAATCTGATGTAGGCACCCGTCCCTCCGGAGGTTTGGCCAGTTTCAACAGCAATACATGCACGACAGGGTGAATTTTATTGGACTCAGGAAGTTGTAGTCGGTTGTCACGACCCGGTCCCTGATAGGGGCCCGAATCTCTGCGCTTATGATATGTCTCCGTCGTATCTAATCTTCCAAACACTTCTGCTTTTGTTTTGGACTCTAATTTGCATGATTTGAATGAAACTAACCCGGACTGACGTTGTTTTTGGCAAAACTACCATGATGTTGTTCTTTATGCAGAAATAAAAGTTCTCGGAATCAGACGAAACTTTTTGGAGATTCTTTATGGAATATATGAAAAATACTGGAGCGAAGATCCA